GGCGACGAGCTATCATTGCTCGCCGTCTGCAGACCCGCGCTTACAGTGGCATGAAGATGAAATATGGGGATGGGGATGGTTCCAAGGACATGTAGTGACTATTAATTGAACTCGTTTTATAAAGCTTTTAGCACCTAAAGTTGCAGGCGATGAAAGTGGTTAAGGAAAATATAAAATATAATCGCTGTTATCCTTACGGTCTCCCATGCGAGTGTCTTGAATAGATACAGTTACACTTATCTACAGGGGTCCCCAGAAAATGTTTTTGCCGTTAAAGAAACTAATACGGCCTATACGTAATAGGAAAAACATAATAGCTCGTTTGATTAAATGGGCTCTATTCACGGAATTACCGTCACGTATGTACAATTTGCGATGGAAGTAAAAATATATAATTGATCGCTTCCAAGCCTTGGCAGCCTAATACCTTTTGGTGAAACCTCGCGTCCTATGTTTTCACTCTGAAAGCTTAATCGCCCCATTGTATTAATTTTGTAAAGAAACGTGCGTCATCATCCTGTTTTTCGTCGAAGGGTCACTTTTGAGTAGATATTTTATAATAATCCTTTTTCCTATAAATTTCAATCAAAATATGGTAAATATTTTCATCTAAAATATAGATTAGGTAGGGTCATCTAAATCACGATCCAATGTGAGTTTGGTAAGAGTTTTCTTTAATTAATTTCAAATCTCTGGCTTAACTCACTCTAGTTTAAGTTAAAAAACAATGAATTAATTAATTATAATTATAAAATAACGTTAAATCTTCACTGCGACATTCTTCCGATTTATAGCAATTCGTTGAAACGGAACTAGTTCTAGACGGCCTTATACCATTTTTATATCCTATAAGTAGTTTTTTTGTTGCGCACAGATAATCTAATAACGGTTTTTTTTTATCTACGTTCCAGTTATGTCACAGTTACGCAAAAATTTTCTTTTTTATTTTACATAATAATATGTATAATGTTTATGTTAGTAAGTAGGTGTACTCGTTATGCGTAAATTTTGTTGCTTATTTTACTTAAGTTGTCCGTTTAATTCATCAAATCCCAAACGAACGCGTTCATGAATTAGAAGAGTCTTTGCTTCAATGGGTCTTTTATTTTCTATAAGTGGTCGGATCGGACATTGACTATAAGCATGTTTAATGACATGGTAAGTTAACCGCGTTCAAATTTTAACGGCTATAAATACTTTTTATTGATTTTGATAGCTATTTATTGATAGGTCGATGAATTTGAAGTTAGAACTAGTTTGTTGTTTGATAATGTTTTAAGCTGTTGTTGTCGAACCGTGTAGTTTCTAGTTTCCAACTTCTAACGGATTATCTTGAGCTAAACTTATGCGAATCCTTATTATACTGAAAATGGAGAAGCCATTTTCAGTAAACATAATGTTATACGTAGAGCTGGAACTTCATGAAATGTAAGTTGTTGTTGTTTGTTCTTAAATAATATATTATGGAAGTTTTATTTTATAATATTTCTTTAAAAAGTTGTCCTGGTTTATTATTTCTGGTCATGTTTTCAAACCACCCATCCAGATGACCCAGGCATAGATTGCTTTTGCTTTTTTGGTGTATGCTGAGCACTGCTGAACAAGGGCCACTTCTCACACGGAGAAGGTTTGAGCATTAATCACATTGCTTGCTCACGGCGGATTGGCGATTTCAAACTTATAATTAGAAATTATAAGCCCAGGTTACCCCATGATTTTGTCGGGTTAGTCCCGCTATGGTATGGTCCCGGTATGGCACCTTCTTAAAATACCTATCAAAAAGTCCCGCTATGGTACCCATCTTTTAGATCTACGTTAGACAATAGAAGGTACAACTGAAAAGAAAAGTGTATCTATAAATAAATACTTTTAGGAGTATATCAATAAAACGTCTGTTTGCGATATTAAATCAGTCTTTTATTAATTCAAAATATTTATAAAAAAATATCAAACAGTAAAACGAAATATTAATTGCAATGTAATTTTTAAAATAATCAACAATATTAATTACCAATAATCAACAATAAAAAAATATAAAAAATCCACATCTCAGAAAAGTATTACTGTAAATATTATAAACTACAAATAAAAACAACATCCAGACATAAATATTAGTTACAAATAATCAACATTGAGAAAAGGCAGTAATTGTAAATTTATATAAACTACAAAAATAATCAACAACCAACTAGACAAATATATTAATTACAAATAATCAACATCGAGAAAAAGTATTAAACATTTTAATAGGCTAAAAACAAAATTAAAATAAACTATTTTTTTAAATGTTCTGATCGAAATATTGACTTTGATATGTTAATCAGAAAATCACCAATGGAGATAGCTTTATTTTCGTAACTTTTTGTTAGCTTTTGAATCTGGCGGTCGATTTCTATACTTGTTCTTTTTCTTGAATTTATAGGTGATCTTTTTAGTCGAAAGCTATAACAAAAATCATCAGTTATTTAAGTTAAGCTATATTTTTTTCAGTAACCGTCTGTAATAGAAGGCGACAACCAATAATATCTACCAAAATAAATAAAATCAAATCCATTTTCAAATTCTTCTATGTACTCGTATTATGTAAAAAAAATTATATCTGCTTTTAAAAATATTATATCTGCTTAAAAATATTGTCTAAAAAATACAACTTACTTGGCTTGTTTTATATCAAAGTGACATGTGTCGTTGCCAATTGTTTGCAGAAACAATAATAAACTGGGATTTTTTCCAATAATTTTGTTGAATCTGCCATTCCATGATTCCGCCAAGTTAGTTGTTCTATGGCGTTCATTATGGCAACACCAAATGAGGTCTGGATATTCAAGCCACTGAGTGACAAAATAGTCATTGAATTTGGTCATAGCTTCATCGTCGAAACTGAAAAAAATACCTATTAAACGTTCGTACTTGTAAAGCAATGAAATTAACAGGTCCTTACTGATATTGTTGTTCTTTACTTTTTTGCCATATAATTAGAGTTAAGTACTCAAACATCATTTTGGAAAGTAACCAAGATATTATACCTATTTTCCATCATATGCAGCCAGCCGTCTTCAATATCTTGTTTTGGCAAAAACGCCAAGCCTATGCATTGCTTAACATGGTTCGAGGACTCTTCGTGTTCCATGAGATTTAAAGATTTCGCTTTTTTGATAACGTTCTTTTGAAAATGTACGTTACATCCATTTATTTTGATATCAGGAAAAATCTTCGCTGCTGCATTTATTACTCCTATTTCATAATCGAAGGTAAATTTCGATGGACGCCATTCAGGCCAAGTTTGTTTAATCAATTCGAAAACTTTTTCATAAGTTTTCCCTTCTTTGTTTTTTAACAGAATATAAAATAATGGTGCTACATTCGTGGATAACTCAGTGCTTCCCATGTCTCCATGAATGACATAAACTTGTTCGAATGGGTTTGGGCAGCCGTTGAAAGTGCCATCACCAAAGTAATGCGTTACACATTTTATATGTTCCTTTACTTCTGTCGAGGAAAATATAATTATTCGATTACAGTCTTCATTACAATAATCAGCCAATACATACTTATTAAATTCTTCTGGTATTATAATTTCTTCCACATTCTTAAATTGTGTTTTTGGTACGTTCAACGACTTATTTCGGTGTCTGTATAATACTGTTTTTAATTTTTTATAGTCAGGAACATTTCCTGTAAGGTGTAACCCTTTGTCTTTTAAGTTACCCATGTGTTTTTCGAAAATTTTCTGTACTGATCCGTAATTTGAATTTACTTCTTTTTTGCACTCACTTATAGCCATTTGAACTTCATTGTCTTCAAAATGTGGCACGCACTGATCACTGTGTTTATAATCTTTAATTATTGTATTATTGGTATTCTCTTTAGTTATATATCCACTACATTTAATACTATTTCTCCTATTTACACAATGCCAAGTACTTGAATTTTTATTTTCTCTGCGTTTAATATATTTATGTCCGGCACGTAATAAAGTTTTTCCACCGCGTCGACTGTCAATAATTATTAAATTTACACCACGTGAACTACTTGACCCAGACATTGCAATAGATAAACTAACAAGCTATCCTAATTACTCATATCGCAAAAGTACAGCTGCAAATAGCAAACTAAACCCGGAATAATCCTGTCTGTCTCTATTTTCATAAAAACAAAAGGGAAGAGCTAGATACGAATTCGAGGAAGGGCTCGTCTCTATTGTTTTACGAAAAAACCGGTTGGTCAGGTAACTACCTGAAGTGAAACGACAATTACCGAGCGTGATTTGTTTAAAAAATAGTATTAATAAATATTATCTTGCTTAACTATAATATTTAAGAAAAGATATTTTTTATTAATACTATTTTTTTCTTAACGCATTGTATAACTTTTCTTTACAACAGTACCAAAAACTGAAGGGTACCATAGCGGGACTTTTTGATAGGTATTTTAAGAGGGTGCCATACCGGGACCATACCATAGCGGGACTAACCGATTTTGTCATTCACCGTATGCCAGGGTCGTCTGTATAATCATAGAATGTATTATATAAATCAGAAAAAGTCACATTGGTACTTGCCAGCTTTTACACCGTCATGCATGACAAGCGGGCCCCCGACCTCCGGTCCACCTCGAAGTATATGGATCATGGAATTAAAATGATCCAAGGGATCATGAAAAAAAATTTGTTATGTCGAGGGTTCATAGTCGATAGGTACAATGTGATTGTTTGGCTCTGAACTCAAGTCTTAATATTGTGTGTGCTAGGTTTGTGACAAAGATATAATATATAGGCACGATTTATATCCTTGATAAACTGTCTCCTGTTTTAATAATAACTTTTCTTACTCACAATCAACACTGTAAAGGTTGAAAGTTAGAATTTAACGATAAATTGTGTTCTACTGGCGTTCCTGTCCCGCACACTCACTTTGGAGGATTGATTGTTTGTATATATGTATGTTTGTCTTTATATGGTGCATGAGTAATGGTTTTATGTGCTGTCCTTTATATGCACAATGAAGATACGAGGTCTGTTTTAATTTGTTGTATGTGTTGTCACATTCAATAATAATAATAATTATTTTAGTAGATTTTCAATTTTATTACAAGAGGTATTAAGGCGAATTAGTATTAAAGAGGTATGGATTAACAAGGTTGTTTTTCAGACAATTGTTTCAATAGAATCTTTTAAGTGTTTTCTGAAATAAGAGATGGCCATCTATAAAATAAAAATGTTGCAGTTTTTAGGTTAAATAAACCTTGTTTAATAAAGGTCAAGGTTCATTATTGTCTGTACGACAGTAGGCTTTTCAGTTTTGGCATTTTTATGTAATATAATATGTGTATATCACTAGGTATTGATCGATAAGCGTTTTTAGTGAAATAAAAATATATGTTTTTGTGCGTGGTGTTTGACTTGTCAGTAATGTTTTTGCATTAAAGTTATACTTTTTTTTATATCCAATCTTAAATCTTATCTAATCAGGTTTAGATTTATATTAGGTAATACCAATTCCTCATCTCTAATCACATTGATAATGAAATATGAATGGGTAATTTGCACCGTCATTTTTTTGATATAATTATGGAAAATTTCAAAAACCCCTTTTTTGTTCTTTCCAGTTCCGTCCGCTCCTCAAAACCTGACAGCAAACAATGTAACTACCGAGGAAGTACACCTATCATGGGCCCCGCCATTGAACATGACAGTGCGCACCCTTCCCAACACAGACCTTGACTTCAAAAGTCAAACTGTAATACCTCATAATGATCACTTAAGAAACAGAAAGCAAGAAGTGCAGGGCGACGAGCCAGCCAATGACGTCCTCAGCCAGGATCCACCATCAGACTCCATCAACCCAGAACGACTAAAAGACTTCGAATACGCATCCTACAACTGGTACAAAAACGACAAACAAAAATACAATGACGATTACTCATCTCATGTCCTTATCGATGACTATAGGAATAAAAGAGATGTCAGATCACATAGACACAGAAAGAGACGGCAAGATAATGGGACGGATGAGAGTTTGCACTTTGAAAAGAGTTTGGAGGTTTGGGCTAAGCATAATATCGAGCCTAAGGAGGTGGTTAAGAAGGCCTTTTTGAAACATAAAAATGCGACGCAAGTAGCATATGTCCTTTACTACGAGCAGGGACAGCCTCGCTATGACGTGAACATCGTCAATGGGTCCCAGAAGTCAGCCGATGTGAAGAGGAAGAATGTATTCCCCAGCGATTTGGGCATGGAAAATTATTCGAGGGCGACGAAGAATTTGACGCTGTTAAACACTTCCGGGAAGGTGACGAAAGTAGTCGGGTTCCGCTTGAGAAATCTAAGTAAGTGACAATTTTACAATTGTATTGTTTTTGTTGTGTAACAGTTTCGACTTGTAATAGCTAGGAATTGTTGTGGTCGCTTGCAGAACAACTTTCTAGTGTTGCCAATTAATTGTTTTTAAAATGAGCTTTTTGGTAACAATTTTAAATTTGAGATTTCGAACAAATTTTTACACCGGCTCTTGTTTAAAAGTCTGTTTATCACATCACACATCACATCTGTATGATTCAACACAATACCTGTTGTAACTATATACATAGTTTTAAATACATCGTAAAAATAAATTAATAATTTATATCACAATCACAATACCAGTACTTACTTACATCGACAACTGATTACCATTACTTACCTGACTACCTACCAAGTCTATTATAAGATTAATTCTTAACCACCATTACAAAAGACGTGTAAATAATAATGTTGGCAAAAAGTGAATTTTAAGGAATGGGATTTCAATCCTTTACATGAATAGAGGATATAATCTTAAAACAATGCAATAAGAACAATTTTCCACTGCACCCATTTTTTTATATAGATTTATTAATTTAAAAGTCGTTACGCTCGATTAATTGACATAATATTCCAATTTAATATAACCTCGACCTTCTAGAAGTGTGCCTCAAACAGCCGTTTATCCAATTAGTATGGAGAATACCTTTAGCCGCTCTTAATTGTTTAGATTACTAATCGTGCTATGTATGTCTTGTCTGTGATAAATTATGTGACGGCTGAAGAAGGCATGTAGAAAAAAATATTGGTAGGTTGGTAGAATTTTACATTTTGGAGTTCGATATAAATTTACGTCGTATCTATGCTGTGTCTTTTAAAGAGATTCTGTTTTAAAAAATGATTTTTTGGCTTAGCAAACTTACTTGTAATTCCTAAACCAACATAGTAAACATACCCCTACTATTTTGGTCTTATTTCTCATTATAAAGCAGATTTTAAACATTATTACCAGTAAAAAATACTAATAACATTTTCCTACTTCTTTCAGAACCTTTCACTCCATACAAGATCTGGGTGCGAGCTTTCTACAACTTTTCGCTGGATGGAGTGAAGTCATCCGATTTGCTGGACAGATTGGGTCCTAAATCGGAGCCCCTGTATGTGTTAACTGACGTTATGCCGCCGTCCGCTCCTATTATACTGAATTTGACTTGTGACCAGACTAAACGTAAGTTAATTTATTGTTATCTAATGTTTTTGAGATTTTTTTCGGTTTGTGACACTTTTATGTGTCTAAATAGTTGATCAGATTCAGATAAGTTCATCGAGTTACACCAATCCAGCAATTGGATACGAAGCATACGAATCATAAAATACACATATCATAGTTACCTACTAAGTTAAAAAATCTACTAAACAATCCAATTGAAATTTTAAATAGGTCCAGTAAGGTAACACAATTATAATATAAACCTAAGAGGGCCCCCTAATTGTAGTTACTCTTAGTTGTAATACTCTCCCCTCGCCTCCCCAAAAAGTCGGCAGTGTACTTATAAATTTGGTATGGCGAATGTAATTTACAATTGCTAACCATTTAGAGATCCGTCGTTTTCGTTAACCCACATATCACATAAAAGCTAATATTATATTTTCTCATCTCCAGGTACATTATACCTTCAATGGCGTCAACCCCTAGAATACAACAACTCCTTGGATCAGTATGTGGTAACTTTGAGGAAGATACCTGAACAGCAGCCAAGGACCAGATTGACACTACCAACAAACAAGAATGATATTGAAACTACAATACCTATAGTAAGTAACAATCACATAATCAATACAAGTTGCAGCAATTGGTCAATAGATAGCGCTGATCACAATACGGTTGTTTCCAACAAGTCAAATTCAATACTTTTATCCAAATGTCAAAAACGATACCAAAAAAATTGTATGAAACATTGAATTATGACGTCATAGCATTTTTGCGTCAAATAGCTTACTTATTTTTAAAAAATTCGCTAAAAAATATCTAAAACTTAGTGTATCGATCGATCGATTTATAAAAGTATAGTTATTTTTCAATATTTTGTCGTATTAAAACGTCGAATTAATTTATTTTTGACCTAGGAAACTACCCAATTCAACGATATTATTTCCTATATCGGACAGTTAAAAATTTACTTTCATTAGTAATTTATTAACCGACTTCAAAAAAGGAGGACGTTCTCAATTCGACGCGTATTTTTTTCTATTTAAAGTACTCCAAAATAAGAGTTCCGTACTTTCATGAGTAATTTATTTTCTATTTTACAAAATAAGAGCCCCACTATGACTTGAAAGGAATAGAGCTTTTTTAGTTAATTAACGTTTATCGTTAATCATTTAGAAGAGGGTTGTTTACTTACCTCTGACCCAAAAATAAATTGTGTCGATATTTTTATATATCCTTATTTATTACAAATGAATTAACAAAACATTCAAACATCACATGTTAATTTATTGCAAAATAAGTATGCTATTTGACGCAACAATCCGTCATGTCTCTTTGCGTCAAAACAGACAATACCTCGTACAAATTTAATATAAATAACGAAATACGATAAAATTTAATCAGAAAAACGAAATTTACGAGCTTAAAGATTTTAACCGTTTCTTAATTTATTTATAATAAATTCCATTATATGAACTAAACGTATATATAATGGAATTTATTATAAAACTAGGACTGCATAAGGAAATCAATATACATGAGGAAATAACGAATATAATTGTCTTGGTTTAATTTTTGTTCTATAATCCGTGTGAAGCGCTCGCTACAATCACATTGAAGGTATTTTTTTTTATTTAAATTATAAAATAATATTGTTTTAAAATCAATTCACTTTTATTAGAAGTGTTTTTATAAGAGTAGAAGAAGAGTTTGAATAAGAGAGAGAAGACCGAACGCATACCTAGTTTTATTTCCAAAATGCGTTCAATTATTTGTTTGCTTTTCCCTCGAGTCGCCTGACAGAAGATTTTGATCTGGTTTGTGACGGATTCTGTGTTGTGTTCTTATCATCTGACTTAAAATTCCAATGCTGAACACAAGCTGGCACACGCCTTGGGAATCGCAGTGCGGTAACCTAAACAATAGTAGAGCGGCTTTTAGAAGTTCTACTCATGTCAATATTAAGGGAGGTTATAGCGTCCATTTCTCATGTACATAAATGAGGGAGGAAAATCCGTAAAATTTCTACTTCTTCCGCCTTGCTTGGGGCGAGAGCGAAACATCCAGTTCCTTCTCCTTTTCCGAGGCATGACCAGGATACACTATTGTCCTTGCATGCATGAGGTTGCCGGTTCTAAACTTGGCAAGAACCAATTTAAAAGTTTGGTTACATGTACTTTCTATTTAGTAATTAACGTTCGTTCCTTCTCCGTGAAGAAAGATGTCTTTGCCCAGCTGTAATCTGTAGTCTGGTCACAGTTCTATTAAATACCCAGTTCTCCAAAATTGAGTAAACTCTTTTGTGATACTGTGTTTGTTTCCAGGAAGTGGATCTGTGGAATGTGACGAGGTATGAAGTGAAAGTGTATGCGGTTACTCAGTCCGTGGCCAGAGAGAAGTCCTTCATCAACGGCGTCGAGTCCAATCCAGAGGTAGGTGCTATTTTCTTGTATTTAGTGACTAAGGTTGAAAGCTAATAGCATATAATAAGCTATAAGCTAAAAGTATGGGAGAGCCATGCTTCGGCACGAATGGGTCGGTTCGACCGGAGTGATACCACGGCCTCACAGAAAACCGGCGTGAAATAACCATTGCGTTGTGTTTCGCCGTGTGAGTGAGGTTACCGGAGGCCCAATCCTTCCCGTTCCCCAATCCCTCCTAAATCCCTAAATCTCCAAATCCCTAATCTCTTAAAGGTCGGCAACGCACTCGTAACTCCTCCGTTGCGAGTGTCCATGGGCGGCGCTGATTGCTTACCATCAGGTAATCCGTCTGCTCGTTTGCCGACCTATTACATATAAAAAAAAAATATGGTAATTAGACGGCTTACCTATGCAGCCGATATGTAAACGGTCGGATACTAACCAAGGCTAAAGAAGTCTTAAATTGGAGAAGGCTTTATAGCTTAGAAAGTGATAACGTTATAAGAATATTTTTTAATGTGATTGGTACAATACTGAATTACCGAATGGTAAGTAATCAGCGCCGTCGATGAACACCGACAACCGGTTAAACTAACCTTTGGGGAAGGAGAGGGGAGGGGGAAATTGGGTTCCCGGTAACCTCACTTACACGACGGAATGCAATGAAAGCTTAACTCTACTCCCAGAAGGCCCCATCCTTTATCCCTTCCCCCAATCCTTAAATATCCTAATCCCTAAAAGGCAACGTACCTGTAACTACTCAGCTAGCCTATTCGTACCGGAGCATGGGTCTCCTTCATGAATCGTGATAAAGTAAGTCAGATAATTGAATATTTGTTTGACATTGAATATTTGTACGTTCAGGAGGTTTCAAGTGAGTGGTGCGCGGCGCACTCGGAGGCGATGTCCCCGATGGACACGCCAGCGCCTGGTGCCGTCAGCAACGTGGCTCTGCTCGCCATCTGTCCACTGCTGGTCTTCGCTATCGCAGTTGCTGTCCTCTATTGGAGGTACGTAAGAAGTGTGACCCACAAATTGTTGTTCCTGGTCTTGGTGTGATGTGTATGTGAAATTGTATGTTTGTAAACGCAACCACGACACAGGAGAAAATCCTAGTGGGTGGCAAAGATTTCGCAAAAAAGCAATTACATGGCTGTTAAACACTAAGCGCAATGTTATAGCTTTTTACCAAAGTTTTAGCAGATTATCCCGGCTTTAATCGGGTTCCTGATAACAGTTTTGTGTTCAAAATCCCGATTCCACAAAAAATAAAATGGTATTAGCCAATTTGGTCCAGCCATTCGTTACAGACGTACTTAGGCACGTACGTGATCAGATACTATTTGATATAATTATAAATAATAATAAATTTTAACAAAGGTTACAATTTTGACTTAAATCATCTACATTCTAATATAGTATACAAAAAACAATATTGTACAGCATTACTTAATTAAACCTTTGGCACCGATGCTAAGATTTAACTTGGGTTATGGACGCCATGGGTTCTCTCTATAAGTATATATCACTTAAATAATATACTTCTCTTGAAAGAATGTGACGAGTACTTGTCCCGCAGATTAATAGAAGGAATAAAATTTAGATAAAAGATAATAGAAATATTAAAGGTATGGTTCTTTGCAAATTTTTATATTATTGTTTTTTTATAGATGTCGAGCTCGTCTCAGTAAATGTATCAGCGCTGCTTACAACTATTTGGAAGAAGGTGGCGAAAGGGCTGCGCGGGCGCCGCTCAACTCATACAAGAAACCCGGTGAGTGTTTACTAACTACATTACCCGTTGACTGGTTCTAATTATAAATAATGCGTTAATGTATTTAATTCGAAAGTTTTAAATTATTTTTTCTTGGTTTTATTTATCCGCACCATGTTGAAAGTATTACCGCCACATTGAGGTCATAAATATAAATTATTTTTTTATTTTACTACCGAATAAAAGTCTCCAACTTGCTTGTTTCACTAAAACCTAATATTGCGTACCTTTCGAAATAAAAGTAAAGTCCTAACACAAAAGTTTTGAACTTTAATATTCTAGTAAAGTTGACTATAAGATTATCTAACACTGACCGATAATTAGTTTTTGACGTTGCAAAATGCCTAATGTGTCTTAAATGCGTCCTGCATCTTACCATGTATATAATACTAGCTACTCCTATGTGGTTTTACCCCCTGCTCAGCCTCGTAAATATCATAGCATGATGTTTTTATAGTATATAGCCTTCCTCGATAAATGGACTAACAAACACAAAAGGAATTGTCCAATTCGAACCAGTAGTTTCGGAGATTGGTGCGTTCAAACAAACTCTTCAGCTTTATAATATGAGTATAGGTAAATTTATAGAAACGAAAAACTATCTTCAATATAAAGTTTAAACAATCTTATCTTTTTATACAGTGGTGAACTGCTCTCCTTTGGTATCATGCACGTCGGGTGCGGGTGAGGGTCCCGAGGGCCCCGGCGGTGGGGGCCCCGACGTAGGGGCCCGCGCCCGGCCCCCGCGGATGGCGGGCGCCGCGCAACCAGCTGTACGGGCCTCCGCATTCCCCGCACACGTGGCTGCTTTACATGCCGACGGAGATATTGGATTCAGGTAATTTTTAAGATACATATGATCAAATAATAATTTTCAAGATATCGCAAAGTCGGCACCTTATTGTATACTAGCTGCTATCACACGGTTCCACCCGCTGCTCGATGTTGTATAGCCTATAGTCTTCCTCGATCAATGGACTAACAGACATAAAAAGATTGATTCAATTTGGACCATTAGATCTGGAGATAAACGCGTTTAAACAAACAGCTTTATAATATTAGTATAGGTTATATTTGAATCGACTGGATCTTACATACATCGAATGAAAATTTTATATGGAGAGTCTTCTTTCGTATAATCTAGGCTAGACACATTTAAGCATGTTCAAGCCTTCTGATTAATTTTTATAAATGAAAATACCTAGCTGAAAGTACTCTTTAAACTCAACTGAATTTTGGATTGAAAACTAATTTTATTCAGCTAGCTAGAGTTATTAATATTTTTTTAGGCTTTATTTATTTTGTTTGTTTCATTTGTTAATCGTTGCGGGCAAAACGCACTGACACACCGCCGCCCGGCTCGAAGCAGGGAAAAGAGGTGGTTATTAGTCAGTAAGAGTCACTTCCTTTCGCCCCACTCGTAGTGGGAGAAGATTTGATGATTTTTCCCTCTTAAAGCTCGACGTTAAAGCGGTTTTTAGAGTGAATATTATTTTGACACTAGTTTCTTCTATAGTAATTGATCATAAATGTTGTCTTAAATTACAGCAAAGAATACGAGATCGTGGTAGCCAAGTCAGCGGCGTTGGGCCACACCAGTCACCATAGTCATAGGCCAGAGAACAGACTGAAGAATCGGTACCTGAATATTACTGCATGTAAGTATACTACGTATTAATATTATAATTAGGGTAGTGACAGCGAAACTACGGGTATGACCTAGTTGATTATAGATTTGTGAAAAAATTTGGATGTTTGCAACTAATATAGACTTTTACGCTTAAACTAATGTAGCTAGGTATGCAAATGAGGCAGAAAGTGTGGGAGAGCCATGCTTCGGCCCGACCGGAGTGATACCACGGCCTCACAGAAAACCGGCGTGAAACAACCACAGCGTTGTGTTTCGCCGTGTGAGAGAGGTTACCGGAGGCCTAATCCTTTTTTCTTTCTTTTCTTTTTTTTAAAACGTTGCCCGAAACTAGTATTTTCTCCTGTGTCGTGGGTGCGTTTACAAACATACAATTTCACATACACATGACACCCAGACCCGAAACAACAATTTGTAAATCACACAAAGTGTTGTTCCGTGCGGGAATCAAACCCGCGACACGTTGCACGGCAACCAGTTGCCCAGCCACTGCACCAACCGTGCAGCTTCCAATCTTTCCTTCAATCCTTAGTGATAAGACAATATGGAATTGCACTGTTTTTAAAACGTTTGTACCTTGTCCCTCAGACGACCATTCCCGAGTATGCGTGTCCCTGGGCGGGCGGTGCGGGGCGGCGGGCTGCGTGGGCGGGGGCGGCGGGGGCGCGGGCGGCGGGGGCGGCGGGGCGCGCGCCTCGGCCTGCGACTACGTCAACGCTAACTTCATCGACGGCATGCTGCCCCAGCTGCAGCCCCATCATGTCGCCAGGATCCGAAGGAAGCTGGAGCGGAGGAACAGGCCGCATAGGTAATTTGTGCCAATAGATCTTAAATTCTCAACCCAACCTATCAGTCTTGGCTTTTCCTCAGATTTTGGATAAAGATTGACCTCAAACATTTTCGAATGATATCAGTTATCAATTTCGGAAGTTTGAAAAGTAAATGTGTGGTTATATTTTGTTGACGAGTAATACAAAGTTGTTTGGCATCCTTGTGCTCTTAAACTTATAAACGACGCTAGTTTTGACACGTAGCTTTAATATAAAGTTTATGTAAAATAATAAAAAATGATTATGGTAACGCCCTACAGACAATCACCATATACTTTCCAAATAAAGAAATGCCTAAGTTTAGACTAATAATAATAATGCATTTATTGTTTTCCAGACAATCATCAGTTAAACCATCAAAACCTCCTCCGAACCTGGCTGAAGGCATAGAGTCAGCGTTCCTAAACATTGAGTTCTCCGGTATCGTCGAGTCAGACGAACAGAATTCTGATTCAGACAGCGATAGGAGCGATTCTGACTCGGAGTTGGATGACGTCTATGTTGATATTGGTAAGAGTATAGTCGATAACATTCTTGTTTTTTTTCATTTTATCATTCTCACTTTTTTCTCTGCCAATCTCACTATTTTATTTTTTGTTTATCATCTTCTAATTTTTAATAAGAGACAGATTTTATCATTAAAGTAATAACAATAAAATATCACTTCTAAGTTGCAATATGTTTGTCATAGCAGAACTAAAGTAAAAGGCATCATTCTATTAATCACTGACATTCTCTATGAGCCCTTTATACATTATTAATGTTTTTAAAGTGCTCACAAGTGACCCCAGCTACATTGTATAGTGACTTCTCTCGCCTAGGGTATAGCGAGAGTCTCGGTCTTACTGAATATGGGGGGAGGGTGGGGCGGTCCTGCTCCTACTTGAGGCCGAGGCCACGGTGCCTTATACCTCTTAAGACTTTACTTTTAACATATTTATTATTCATAAAATATGTATATAATTACAAATGATTTATTTTTCTTTCTTTTTAGATGGCGTCCCTACCCGCGTTAAATTAGAATGGTTAATATGGCGACGTCGTTACATCGCAACCCAAGGTCCTACGCCGGCAACACTGGACGCTTTCTGGCGGATGATCTGGCAACACCGAGTGCACACTGTAGTTATGATCACTAACCTTGTGGAGCGGGGACGGGTAAGTTAATGCCAACTGATGAATTTAGTCGTATTTGTATGGGATAGGCGGGCAAATAAACGGAGCCTTGAGAAGCCCGCAGTACCGGGCACAAGAGAAATTATTATGGTGTTGCCGACTTGTCAAGTCTTTGTCAACTATGTATAACGAACTGTTTCCCGCGGCGCCTACCTAGAGCTAAGTACCTATCGTGATGATATATAGCCTATAGCCTTCCTTTACTAATTGGCTATCTAACACTGAAATAATTTTTCAAATAGAAACAGTAGTTCCCGAGATTTGCGCGTTCAAACAAACACTTTTCAGTTTTATATACTAAGTAATAGATGTATCACAATTTGTTGATGGTATATAATAAATAAAATGGAGGATAAGTATTTTTTTAAACTTCGTCTAAAGAGCATAGGTGCAGGTTAAATTTACTGAAATGTTTCCTTGATGTCGAGGTGTACGTTGTGATGTGAAATCTTTGTGTAAAAAGGGGGTTTTAACAATATATTTTACATAATAATATATGTTTTTTCTATCAGCGTAAATGCGACATGTACTGGCCGGCGGGCGGCGCGGGCAGTTCTGCGGAGTTTGGCGGAGTACGCGTCACGTTACTGCACGAGGACGTACGCGCCGCCTACACTGTACGGCATATGCGCGTCACTGCTGATTGCGCACCGGTAAGACATAATCATGTTAAAATATACGCCTTCTTTACTGTTGCGCAACGGGCTATATGCATTTTGTATATCTGCGCAATCAATGCGCTAACTTAGCGCAAAGGATAAATAATAGCGCAAATCATTTTTTATATAATTGATCTATTCCATCTATTGTTACATTATTCATACACTACATAACAAATCTACTAAAATTTAACATTTTATTTACGATACCCTTAATTAGCAAACCAGACTGCTCAACATTTCATCAAAAAATAATTGACTCATTTGAACACTGAATTTAAAAAACGATGTAAAGAAAAATCTAAAAGATCTGACGGTATAAAAAAAAATAAGTATTTATTTAATAAAAAGTACACAGTACACAGTTTTAAAGTGCCTCCTGAAGAATTTGCCAATTAAGGTATCAATTGCTAAAATGTTACGTCCATTCCTCAGGGTACTTCGCCCACTAGTGGGGATACATCCGGCTCAGGCAGTGAAGGTCGAAGTATAGTTCAGTACCATTACACAGTATGGCCTGACCATGGTACTCCACGACATCCTCTCGCCGTATTACCGTTTGTCAAGGCCGCTGGGAAACATCCGTCTACTGTTCTAGTGCATTGCAGGTTTGTGGAGCGTTTTAAGCTTTGTTGTCTTTCAATTTAAGCTCAATTTTTATTGTTGTATTTGAAAATCGTAAGTAACTGAAAAAGAAATTAAAATAATTGAGAAATTGTGTTCTTGTATCCTTTAGGTGTATTTTTTCTTAGTATATGAGCGAAGATGCAACTAGAATTACTACCTGTAAAATCAACTATAACACCAAATTTATGTTTATTCCAGTGCGGGTGTAGGCCGTACAGGCACATACATAGTGTTAGACGCACAACTAAACCAACTCAAGCTGACGGGCACACTCTCGCCCCTCGGATTCCTGTGCCGTGCACGAACACAGCGCAATCACCTCGTGCAGACAGAAGAACAATACGTCTTCGTGCACGACGCTCTCCTCGAACACGTGCGCTCAGGAGACACAGAAGTAGAATTTCCAAAAGCAAGAGAATACCTAATAAAACTCCTCGAACCGATCTCCGACGAAGAACTAGCAGTTTTAGACCTTAATCCACCTAAACATAAGAGCACAAATGACTTGTCGAACGGCGTGGAAAATGGCGAAACGTCTAGCATAAAGTCCAGTCAGAATCCTAGCGAAAAAGAGGTTTTGGAGAATGGCAGTCAAATGTCGATAAAGACGGATGATTTGAACAGTGAACAGAGTAAGTCTGTTAAGGATTCTGAGGGTACGGATGAGGCTAAGGATGGTATGGTCAATGGGGAGGAGAATGAAGGAGTTTATGACCTGGCTCCAAGGTCCACGGACACATACAGTAAGAAGATGCAGGCATACAACAATATGAGTGAAATGGAGAAAGAAGAAATGAGAAGGTGAGTTTCTTAATTTGTTTGAACTATAGTCTTAGGGAGAACTAAAACCAATATAATGCTTTAGGTTTACAAAATTTATCTGATTTATTTAGTTAGTTTCAAGCCACGTTTTAAAAGACTGCCTGGTTAATTGCATGACCTACATTTACTAAAAATAGTTCCAATTTTCTAAGTTATTTCGTATACATAAAATATAACAAATGGCACCATTTTAAAAATCAACAGTTCTTTAAAGACATAATATATGTAATAAGACTAACATTTTGTATTCCAGAGCGAATCGTGCGGAAAATTATGCGTTGTTAGAACGTATGAGGTCGTTAGCGAACAGACATCACACGTATCAAGGCCCGCCGCCCGTCAACTTGTTGGAGAAACAGTTTCTGGTACGCATTTTGTAATAATCATGAAATATAACTTAAATTAAAATGTTCTGTAATGTTTATAGAATTCTTCAAAAAGGTTTAACTACTAATAACATCTAGAAATTAAATTTCCTAATTGTCGGAAGCGCACTCGTTGCGCAATAAGCGCAATGTTTGCGCTAATTTTACACAATATGTTCTACTTAACTATAGAAATAATAAAATCGCGTCTGAACAATATAAAAGATTGGTAATAGGATATTATTTACTATATTGGTCGGAATAATAATATATCCTGCAGTAAATTATTGTTGTTTTTTTCCATAGCTTATAACAAGATCGTGCGTGGAAGCGAGTGTTTGTGCGCGTGCGCCGCATAACGCGGAGAAGAACCGGCCCGGCGGTATTCTACCTTCGGACTCTGCTAGAGTCATGCTTGTTCCTAAACCGGGAGTCGAAGGTATGTAACCTGATTAAAAGGTCATATACTGTGATTTTAAAATAAAGCCTGTAGCAAAGTTGGCAAATATTAAGCAAATTTGTTCTAATCATTATTGATTGAAGCTAAATATTTTTAATGCTAAGTTTGTGGTGTCCCTTGATTCTACGTGTTTTTTTTGTAGAAATGGACTTAAAAAATAAAGTTGTTCATGAAAAAGCGAGGTTAAAATGCCCTCTTCTAATGTATAAAGGTTCGAAATCGGATAAGTGTCAACGAAGCCGCTCATGGAGATTGGTTATAACAAAGAAGTTACTACAAATGCTTTGCCAGTCTCTTGTGGGTAATTAGGAAAGGCGAGTTGGGGATTTGGGGGGAGAGGATTAAGCCTCTGAGCCGTGGTATTATTCCGATCGAGCCAGACAATTAACACTGAAACAAGACTCCTACACTTATTTACGATATCTACAATCTGCTTTGGGCAATCTGTTGAATAAAGGTCAAACCTTGAGCGAGTGAGAAGATGCCTTTGGTCCTCTGGGCTTGTATAGTGGTGATATCAGACTGAAGTTGTGCCTTTGCTTAGCAGTAGGCACTTATAGGTATGGGTGGGCGTAATAGATATGTTTGTATGGTGTGTGCAGGCAGTGAGTACGTGAACGCGTCGTGGGTGTGCGGGCGGCGCCGCGTGCGCGAGTACTGCGTGGCGCAGCACCCCGCGGGGCCCGCGCCCGCCGCCGCAGACCTCTGGCGCCTGCTCTGGGACCATACCGCGCAGCTAGTGCTTCTACTCTCCGACACCGACGACCCGGTAACTGCCATAATAGCTGCTTAAACTTCAATTTTTTATGTCGGCAAAGTCGGCAAACGAGCAGACGGATTATCTGATCAATCAGCGCCGCTCATGCGCTTGTCCCGCAACATAAGAGGAGTTACGAGTGCGTTGCCGACCTTAGAAATGTTATCCTCATTATTTTTGGATTATAATTCGCTAGTTTCCAACTAGTCAAATTAAATACTTTCATTGAATTGCCAAAAAACCATACTTTTGTATGGATTTTCTTTGAGATTGCAACATCGCCATAATGTTACACCAAACAGCATACTTATGTTTTAAAATTAACTAGAAAAAGTCAAATATAAAGTATATAGTGAATGCAATATGATTACGGTTTGATAATTATTTGTATTGAAAAGTCATAATCATTTATTTTTTACCTAGGAAACTACAATAAATTATACTGGCAATTAACTTTGTGACTTTTATAGACATGCGTAAACTGTAAATTTAAAGAAATCGTGTTATTTTGAACTCAATTTAAAGTGTTTTTAAAAAACTATTTATATCTTTTTTACTAATTATTCCAGGAATGCGAAATATTCTGGCCGACGGAAGAAGACAAAGAATTATTCGTTGCCAACTTCAGAGCTAGTTTTGTATCAAAAGACACATATGTAGCGCATCGGAAAGTCGATAGGAAAACGCCCGCTGAATCCCCTGTAGAACCAGAAACTAATGGATATAGGCGGCAGGAGAGCAGTGACTGTGCTGATGATGAGAGACTGATCCCAGAGAACAGTTCACCAGTCACCGACACAGAACCAGCATACCGCTTCGACAGAACAGAACTGAGACTCGAAAGACTCAGCACTGGTAACCGTGATCTCTCAGCAAGAAAGTCAATAGCCAACGGAGACCTATTCTCATCCCTCTCCGAAAAGAAGAACGGTCCGAAATCACCACGATCTCCTTCCAAAATGTCCCTCAAAAACTTTAAATTAAGTTCCCCTACAAAATTCAAGTTCCCCGATTGGGGTAACAGGACGGCGGGGTCTCCTCCCGACACGGCTCCTCCACCACCCCCAATAGCCCCAGCTTTGACAGTCGAAGAAGAATCAGAGTTACGACGTCCATGTTATTACTTTGAGAAGGTGGATAAGATACCTGATGATGTGCCGTTGGATAGGATTGTTGAAGTTACAAATGTTTGTGTGCATTCGTTGCAAGATGATTACCAGTTAAGTGTTAAGTTTATTAAGTGCAGTCGGTGGTTGGATGGGGAGACCACGGACTACGTGCAGGGCAGGCCCGACGAGAATGAGTATATAAGGGCCGTGAGGCACGCCGCCACGGAGGGCGAGAGGGAAGCGGCTATAGATCGGCTGATAGAGCCCTACAAGGATTCGTTTGCCCTGGTCGAGTATGTTGCCGGATGTCAGATGGAGTACAAGAATGGACCTGTTGTTGTTGTTGACAAGTAAGTCCCAGTTTTTTTTTTAGTATTTGGCACCAATCCGTTGGATATTTTTCCTTATGGATTTGATATTAGCTTCTGGCAATAGTGTAATACTTTCAAAATTTTGTTTTATGTTATTAGACTGGCCTTCTTAGGTAAATTGCAAAAATTGAAAAGTCAATATTATTCAGTTAGTTCAACACTTTTTTCGAAATAACTAAAACGTGAATTAAGTTTAAATTTTGAATGAAATAGCATAGTTTTTCATTTATATATACTTAGTTAAAAATATTTTTACCTCAAAATTAATATTAATAATATTAACTTTTTGGACCCATATACACTCTTTTGCGAAAAAACGGGCACCTAATGAAATTTACGATGTACCGAACGAAGGATCGAATATAGAAATTTATTTATTTGACGTAGTCTGTGTACCTATAGTCGTGTAAACTAATACGCGTGAAGTGAATTCGGACAAATAAAAGAAAAAAAGAAACGATGGATTCTTTAAAACACTAGACGCCCAAACAATAAGAAGTGGTCGGCAAAAAATACAAATTTAAAAATCTTATGACGAGTGACCTCTTGCCAAAATCACAGCTTGATTCCTTCTGGGCACGTTTTCCACGATGTATTTAATAACATTTTGAGGAGTACGTTGTTTTTTGTGGAACAGGTTACACTGTTCTTACCCGTCTCTTTAGAACATCGCATCCCAGACATGCTAAATTGGATTGAGGTCAGGACTTCGACCTTGCCATTCCAAACGACGGATCCCAACTTCTTGCATGTACGCTTCCACATCACCAGAACGGTGCGGATGATCACTTATACTTATATTCTTTACTCTATACTAATATTATAAAGAGGTAAAATTTACTTACTGACAGGCACTTTTGAAAGTAAAAACAAATTTTTTAAGATATAGTGTCAGTCTGTCGGTGAGTCCTCTTAGTGAAGCTATTTTGCTCGTTCCAAAGTGTAGTTTCCGATGGAGAAGAACGAACAAGAAACTCCATGGTTACTCTTTTTAAATCAGTTTCACATACAGATTCCTTTTACAAACAGTTGGTTCAATTATGTGAGAACAGTGTAACACTAATATTTATACAAATATAAAAAGAAAGTAACCTTAAGGATCATAGACAGTCTGGAGCTGACCAGTCCCAACTGACGGCGCCCGTTCACGAACATGACACGTACACCAGCATCGCCCAACTCAACCATATTATAGGGAATTAAACGATCCAGCGGCCGTGCCACCACCAGTGTGACCTTTCAGTGAGCATGACAACTCCAAGCTGTTACAAGGGCCGACATTCTGTTGGTCTAATTAATTGTAATAGGTTACAGGGCACTCACATTTACAAATTTTTCAAGTTATAGTTATACAATATAATGCAATTTCACTAAATTTTCAAAGAAGTCCCGTTCAAGCAAAATCCATTGGAACCTACATAAAGTTTTCTTTACACATAATTTAAAATTTCTTTCATTTAATTGTTGTATTTCGCTTGGGATTTTGTAATAACATTTAACACAGAATCCCATGAACGACTTGTGTACCTTTGCCAATCTGAATATTAGCTGACATAATCTATCTCTATGTCTAGTTTGATAATTATGTCTATCTGACACCTTATCAAATATTTTTAAGTTTTTCCTAACATACATAATGTTTTCATAAATAAACTGACATGACACAGTCATAATATTGATCTCTTTAAACTTTTCTTTAAGAGACTCACGCTTTAGGTTGTAAATAGCTCTGATGGCATGCTTTGGCAAGACAAAAATAGACTCAATGTCAGCAGCCGGTCCCCACAACAAGATGCCATACGACATAATGCTATGAAATTAGCTGAAGTACACCAGTCTTGCAGTGTCCACATCTGTTAGCGGTCGGATCTTCCAGACAGCAAATGCTGCAGAGCTCAACCGTCCTGCCAGAGATGTGATATGGGGCCCCCATTGTAGTTTGTCATCTATGGTTATTCCCAAAAAAGTAGTTTTTTTTACAAATTCCAATTTCTTACCATTTAATAATATGTCACATTCGTTACTTTTAACATTTGGCAAACTGAATCGTATACACTTTGTCTTTTTGTCGTTTAGGACTAAATTCTTAACTGTAAACCAATCATGAACTTTCGTAATAGCATTACTTACGTCGTCATAATTATCTATCCGTCAATTTATTTTAAAAATCAACGATGTGTTATCAGCGAATACTACCATTCCCTGTTCACTTTGAAATAAATGAGGTAACTCATATATGTACACTAAAAACAGGAAGGGACCTAATATCGAGCCCTGTGGTACGCCCATACATATGCTAGCACCCTGGGAGTTCACTTTATTTACTTGTACTTAGAACTGCCTATCCTGCAGGTATAATTTTAATAAATTGAGAAATACCCCTCGAATGCCGTAGTGTTCCAACTTCAGCAACAGTGTCGCGTGTTCAACGCAATCAAAAGCTTTAGACAGGTCACAAAAAAACCCAATAGCGTCGTTTGACTTTTCCCATAAGGCAAAAACATGCTTAATTAGAGTTACACCGGCGTCAGTTGTGCATCGACCATTGGTGTACCTATATTGTTGGTCATGAAAGATGGATTTTATGTTAAAGTGTCGTAGCATCTGAGAAAGCATTAGCTTTTAAAACACCTTACTGAGCACTGGTAAAATTGATACCGGCCTATAATTATTGGGATCAGTGTCATCGCCAGATTTAACGAACGGAACTACTTTGCTAAGTTTCATCAAATTTGGAAAAAAACCCTGATGTACACTTCTATTAAAGCTAAATAAGGCGCTATAGCTTCTATAAAAGACATTCCCCATAGATCCTCTGTAGACTTAATGTCTTTAAAGCCTTGATTACTGATTGCGGGTCCGTGTACTGAAATCGGAAGTCAGAACGTTGTTTAACATTTCTTTTGAGAAGACTTATAGAAAGTGCCGGAGATGATTCTAATTCTAAGAGGATATTAAAAAAAATCGATAAAAATTTTTCGAATTCTTGGGCAACTTCCATTCCATTCATTATCCGGTCCATTATCCGTATTTAAATTAAAATCCGTGTTATGCATTTTATTTCTGCCGGTCTCGTTATTAATTATGATTTTTGGGTTGATTACATATGGTATGAAAGAGTTGTTTAAGTTTGTAATGACGTGCCGATAGATACGGAGGCTGGAAGGCGATGAGCTTCTGCACGATGTCTGCGGCGTGCGGCGGGGCGGGCACGGCGCGCGCAGCCTGGGCCGCCGAGGCGGACTCGCGCGCCTCGCTGTACTGCTGGGCCGCGCTGGGCGCGCACGCACGCTCCGCGCCGCACCACGCGCGCGCCCTGCACCACGCCGCGCTGCTCGCCGCGTACTGCGCGCTCGCTGCGTACGGCGCGCTGCTCGCGCGGACACACCACAGGTACGCTACACTAGTCGTTGTTACACGCCCTGCACCACGCCGCGCTGCTCGCCGCGTACTGCGCGCTCGCCGCGTACGGCGCGCTGCTCGCGCGGACACACCACAGGTACGCTACACTAGTCGTTGTTACACGCCCTGCACCACGCCGCGCTGCTCGCCGCGTACTGCGCGCTCGCCGCGTACGGCGCGCTGCTCGCGCGGACACACCACAGGTACGCTACACTAGTCGTTGTTACACGCCCTGCACCACGCCGCGCTGCTCGCCGCGTACTGCGCGCTCGCTGCGTACGGCGCGCTGCTCGCGCGGACACACCACAGGTACGCTACACTAGTCGTTGTTACACGCCCTGCACCACGCCGCGCTGCTCGCCGCGTACTGCGCGCTCGCCGCGTACGGCGCGCTGCTCGCGCGGACACACCACAGGTACGCTACACTAGTCGTTGTTACACGCCCTGCACCACGCCGCGCTGCTCGCCGCGTACTGCGCGCTCGCTGCGTACGGCGCGCTGCTCGCGCGGACACACCACAGGTACGCTACACTAGTCGTTGTTACACGCCCTGCACCACGCCGCGCTGCTCGCCGCGTACTGCGCGCTCGCTGCGTACGGCGCGCTGCTCGCGCGGACACACCACAGGTACGCTACACTAGTCGTTGTTACACGCCCTGCACCACGCCGCGCTGCTCGCCGCGTACTGCGCGCTCGCTGCGTACGGCGCGCTGCTCGCGCGGACACACCACAGGTACGCTACACTAGTCGTTGTTACACGCCCTGCACCACGCCGCGCTGCTCGCCGCGTACTGCGCGCTCGCTGCGTACGGCGCGCTGCTCGCGCGGACACACCACAGGTACGCTACACTAGTCGTTGTTACACGCCCTGCACCACGCCGCGCTGCTCGCCGCGTACTGCGCGCTCGCTGCGTACGGCGCGCTGCTCGCGCGGACACACCACAGGTACGCTACACTAGTCGTTGTGCCATGAACAAGAAAAAAAAACATTTCTTGTTTCTGATGAAAATGCCTGTGACACGCAGCAGTTAGACTTCTCGAATCTGTAAGAGTAATGTTTGCCATTTAACTAGAGCACCCTAAAAACGGTAGTCTTATTTGTGCCTATTATTAATCTAAAAAACTGTTTGCAGGTACGCGGAAACTCCGGACCAAGAATCCCGGTAATGAATACATCACATCACATTCAACCACATCACATGTAAGAATACTCAGCGCGTTGTGTAAATACCGTGCCTACCCCGCCGCTATAACGACGTGAATATAGCCGCAAATACACCCACGTGTACAGACAACTTCACATCAATGCGACCTCAACATTTTTTAATTGATTTTCGACTTTACTACCAATGTTGTAAGGAAGGTGAGAATTAATTGAAATTATTTTAGAAGGAGAGTTGAAGATATAGTCTGTGCTTAGACAAGTGAGAAATGCAATTTTTTTATTAAGGTACCGGATCTTTTTAGATTTCATATTTTTTTTTGGAAAATAGTTCGGTTAATATGTATTATTGTTAGTCTTCTACTGACTTCAAAGAAATTTTGTATTTTCAGTGTTGTTATGTGACAGCTTTATAAGCT